GGCAATATATTTGGATTAATATTCCCATTCGTCCTGTGTAAAAGGGACTACTAGCCGTTTGAATTGCATGGGTTCACAACTGAACAGGTGAGACCTTATTGTAAAGTACATTAAACCACGGGCTAAAATTAAAAACACAGGAAATTTACAGGCTCACCTTGCTCTTTTGCCAGTCCAGAAACAATGAGTGCTAAGCACACTTAAAGGGTTAGAGCCTGGATCAAGAGACCCACCTATTCTAGAAGTGTATAATAGCATCTACAAGTTGATTAGAAAAGAATAGGTTCCCAATTAAAAGAGAATAGGATAGGAGAAGACATGTTTCAGATAGGCAAACCTGGGTTAGGTAATACCTGGGCTACTGTGAGTAGTTCTGGGCGTGATAACTTAAATATGATGTTCTCGGAGGAAGGACAGATTTTCTAGAATGATAGATGAGCTCTGAAATGTCAGCTGTGACCAAAGATTAAATAAACTGAGGTTGTATTTCCTGGAATTTTGGAAAGTTGAAAGGTGAATTGATTGCAGTTATCGAAATTTCAAGGAACAGATTAAGTAGATCGGGAGAAACAGTTTACAAAAGTTTGATAGTCTAGGACTTAAAAGATATTGTCCAAAAAATTGCAACCAAATCTGTCAAGAATAACACAGAATCTAGGAGCAGGAGTGACCATTCAGCCCTTTGAGCAAGCTCCATCATTCAACAGGGATCATGTCTGATCTGCTATCTCAATGCCATATTCATACTTCCTCCCCATACCCCGTAATGGCCAAAAATTTAGACATTTGTTTACCTCTTTCTTGAATATATTAAGTTACTCGGCCTCCACAGCCTACTGTGGTTGAGAATACCACAGGTTCATTACCCTTTCACTGAAGGAATATTTCCTCATCTCTCTCCTTCACGGTCCACCACATATCCTGTGACGATTTCCCACAATGAAATTAGGAAACTGTTCTGTTTACACAGGGTGTTTGAAGCTCATGTCCATAAACAACAGTTAATGCTAAATTAATTGGTCCTTTTAAAACTAAACTTGATTGATTTATTTTGGGGAACTGGTTAACTCAGTTGGCTGGACAGCAGATTGCAATGCACTGTGATGCCAGCTGCTTGGGTTCAATTCGCACACCAGCTGCACCCTCCTTCTGAATCTCTCTTCTCACCTGAGGGACAGTGACGCTAGTGTTAAACCACCACCAGATGTTACTGTCTAATGAAAGAATCACCCCATGGTTTGTTAAGACAATGGTGACATTGTTTTATTTCTATGCTCTGGCAGGGTACATTAGGCAGACACCGAAAGTGGGAAGAGGCCTGGCAGATCTTCCAAACTTTGGGCAGCACAGTAGCTCAGTGGTTATAGCATTCTGCCACACATTGCTAGGGATTCATGTTCGATTCCACCCTCAGGCAACTGTCTGCGTGGAGTTTGCACATTCTCCCCATTTCCAAGTTTGTTTCCTCCGAGTGCTCTGATTTCCTCCCACAGTCCAAAAATGTGCAGGTTAAGTGGATTGGCCATGCTAAATTGCCCATAATGTCCAGGACTAGTTGGATTAGCCATGGGAAATACACGGCTACAGGATAGGGTCAGTGGATAGCCTTCAAATGTACCAGTACCTACCTTTAAAACTTGTCTGTCTTTCCAGATGAATGAATTAGTGGCTGTCTTCATTATTACTGAACTAATTTTGTCCTCTGAGCAAGCCTTTTGTTACAGCCAGATCCCATATGAGGTTTCTCAAATTGCCACGATTCCAACCAGGTTATCCCAAATGGTCAAGCTTATGGGTGAGGAGGGATGAAGTGGCTCCCCTTCTTTATTCACCCAACACTCCTTCATTGGTCACAACAATGTTAATTTACAAAGGACCACTCACACTTGGAGGAATTTATTTTTTTTTTAAATGAGCCAATTTAACTTGGCTTTCTTGAGTTAACAGAAGACTACATTTATAAGAGTCATTATTAATACAGGAAGAAATAATGATGCCAATTATAAATGAGAAGTGAGTCCAAAAAAAAGTATGAGTTAAAAGCTATGTGCTTCACTTTCTGTTGTTCGTGGAAAGTAGATAGCGAATCATTGATAGTTGAGCAGTCATTTTCAAACCTCTTGGCTTTACAGGTTGACAGATTTGTTTTTTTCCTGCTTTCCTTTGATACGCTTGCTGACCAAAAGGTTTCTAACACTCAGAGTAAAATGCATCATTTATCTACAATGCAAGGGTGGCTAGGGGATTGTTCTTTGATGATCTTCATAGCATATTAGAGCTTAGACCAAGGCTAGTACACACTGGGACCTCAACCCACTGGCACTTGTGTGTCAGCTCAGTAGCACATTCCAGACCTGGGCTAAATGGGCTTTTAACCCCTCTTTATGAGTCACTTTGAAAAGGGAACGCACAAAGATGTCTCTTGCCCAGATTTCTGTTTTTTCTCCCATCATGCTATCAGTTTTAGATAACTCTCAGGGGATGATAGTTCAGTTTGTTGTGCATTTCCCCCTTTTAGATCCATCCCTTTGAAGCATCCATGACACCTCATGAGGCATGACATAGCAAAGAGTTTCCCTCTAGACAGCTGCTGAATTTATGTCTGCAGTAATTTGTTTGGCTGTAGAAGCCCTTTCTTAAATAGACAAGTTGGACTCAAAACTAAGTGTCTAGCTGATCTGGGTTTAAGATCCATGGTCATGGCACTTTCAGCAAACACAAGACCCAATTCTTTTGCATATCTTTCACTTTGTATTGAACACAAACCAGATGTTTGAAAGACCAGCATTCCAGTGCAATCAAACACCATGGGCAATTGCAGGAATGACAACACATTGGTGCAGCTTTAGGAAAGAAATTAATAGTTCTTTCAAAGAACCAACACAAATATAAAGGGCCAGATGGCATCTCCTGCCACGTATGATTTAATTTCTCTCCACCTTCTCTTCTCACCATCACAAATTGAAAATAACCCAAAGAATCCGGAGCACAATTGTTTGCTGGTCAGCAATTCATGACCTCACAATGTTTCATTTTGATTGCAATCTGTCCAGTAACTTCCTTCACAGATTGAATTTGGCTTCTTTGGGCAACAACCAATCAACCTTTTTTCTGTGGTTATATTGTTCGCCCAGTAACTAATATGATGCAGCTCATTCACTCAGTTGAAGTTTGTTTACGCTGTGCAAACTCACACAATGAGACGACGAAAGTGAATGGATTTTAGCCATCCACCAAGCTTATCATCTCTATGAAAAGCCAACAATGCATTAAAGATTACCTGTCAAAACATTGCATTCCTTCCAGATGGAAAATGTATGAATATAATTAGTAGGTACTGTTATGGTATTTTTTTTCTTGGTATCTTGTTGTGATTACTGTATTTTTTGGCATGTGTCTAATGTGATTACAGTAGCCCCTGCCCAACATTTAGCTGCAGTCCCTCAAGGTTTAAGGTCTCATTTGTTGTAAGTTAAATGAGTAATGGAGAAGAGAATCCATTTCTATAAATTATATGATTATCAAAGAAGGAGGAGGTGACTTCATTCTCTCTTGTGGTGTCTGTGCCTGCATACCTACCAGGATTTAGAATAGCGAGACTGAAAAAAACAATGTATGGCTAAGGCATATAAGAAGCAAATAAAAAACAATTTAGACTAATATATTGGATATTTTGATTTTATTTTCTTTAACAATGGTTCACAAATTCGGTAATATACTGATCCTTTAAACTGCCAGGGTGAAATTGACTTGGTTCTACATTGCTTCACTTTTCCCTCATTATTGTTACCATTACAGTGTATCACAAAGATAAGTAAGTGGAACACAAAACATTTTGGATGGTTTCAGAAACCTTCATCCTCAATGCCATATTTTGGTTAGTTTTACCATAATGTACTTCCACAAAATATATCATGCACAACACATGATGGTCATCAAATTTAGTTTTTGTACTCTTTGGAACATTTATATTTTGGGTGTTAGTCTGAAATAGGTAGGGAAGGGAGTGAAATTTACGATGCATTTTTAATATTGTTGTTAATGAAAAACACGTATGATGAAGTCGAAAGATATAGTTGTTCGACATTTAAACCCACATAGAATTCAGTTGAAGGAAGAACTTTTTGTTACAATATTAATTGTCTCTATTGAAATGAAATGTGTTCTATGTTCCGTGCGTAAAACTTGTAATTTGATTGCTGAGTTATCCAACACATTAAGCATGGGGATAATTGTATGTAGTTTGTACTGTTGGTTTAATGGTCTCTCAGCTGGAGAAGTAAACATGGCTGACTTATTTCAACTCTAATTCTTTGAGAGGAATGAGTAAAGATGAGTATGGAGAGGGTGAGGAAATGACATGGGAGATAATTTCCATGAACCTCTCAGTGTTCTTTAAGGGAATGTCTCAAAATCTTCACACAAATCTGAATGCTGTATAACTAATATTGATTTTTAACACTGCCCCTCATCCCATTCCCCAAATCTGAAAACGTTGCAGCAGTAGTGAATACTGGACTATGGAAGATGAACATGTTTCATTCAAACCATTCAAACCATTTTCTTATATTGATTTCAAACAGTTCTTTGCCTTTTTGTTCACCTATCCAGATCCCAGCTGAGTGCTAACTAGTCTTCTTAAGCATTGGTTCCATTGCTTAATTGATTTCTGAAGGAATTTGTAGCAACTTGTGCGAAGAATCTTTTTCATCATTCTGTGGAGCGTTGATTCACTTTCTTTGGCAGAAGCAGAGCATGAGACATGATGAATTGTAGAATTTTAAAATTTTATTAGTAAATATTTTGGTTCTAGACATTTTAACATCAGTGAGGTAAAGGTTTAATTGTGTCAAAACTATGCAATATTAAAATAATCCCACCCACTCAATCTCATTAAAATGATACTCAAGATAATATTGACTACTCCTGAGATGACTATGTGATGGAATTGTTCACAATATAAACATTAGCTTTGAACACGTTTTTTTCTCTCATTTCAGAAATGACTGGAACGGTTGCTGATATCTCTTTGGTCCACTGGAAGCAGCAATGGCTGGAGAATGGTACCTTGTATTTCCATGTCTCCATGAGTAATGCTGAGCACCTTTCTCAGATAACTCCACCAACTCTGCGGGAGCCCTCCGAGATTGTGGATGAACAGATGCATGTCCTTCATGTCTCAGTCATGGTGAGACCTCTTCAAATAAGTCATGTTCTCTCTCAGCCAACCAGTACTACTATGAAGTATGAATTTTCATTTATCAATAAGGGATCTTAACTTCAGCTTGTTGATAGCATGGAAGTAGTATTACAGGTCAGTAAACAACAGTGGAACACAATTAATTGAAGAACTCTTTGAGCAAACACTGTTGACAGAATGGAGTGTAGAGTGTCTTTCATCTAGTTGAGGACTCTAGGAACTGTCAGACTGCCAGTATAAATAGTTAATTGAAAGCATGATCCAGGGAGTGAGAAGGTGTGGGTTCTGAGCCCATAGTTCACCCATATAATGAATGTTTGTTTATAGCCGTGCTTCTAATGAAATAGATATGGTAATCCAAGCATAGGCGTTAACATTCGTGTTTTGAGCTGCCATCCAGTGTTTGGATTAACAGTAATTGTGACAAAAATGTTGGAACTTGACAATATATCACATGCCTACAGTCTTCAGGGAAATAGTGGTAAAGTTATTGAGAGAAATGAAAGGGGAGAAAATAAACAACTTAAAATTTTGCATATTGCATGCCTTGTCCTCCCTGGAACTTAACTGCCAACTGTGGTGTCGTTTCAGTATTTTGCAAATGAAACAAGTGATGGGAAAAATGCTTTGATTATTTCCTGAAAAAGATGAACGGATGTAGTAGTTGGGACCCAATTCCTTGTCTCTTGTGTCAGAGAAGTTTGTATGCAATGATTGCATTTTATTTTTACAGACTCGAGCATAGATTTACACATAATCACTGTCCAATACAGACAGTAGCATGCAAAGCATTAGCTAGTTAACTTTCAGCTCTGAATCAGTGTGAAATACCATCTATGCATCTCTAGAAGCCACATTTGAAGCCAGCTTACATCCACAGGATTTAAGTGTTATTATGACTTGACTGCACATGTGTCCAATGTAAATCCTCAATCATCACAAACACCACGTTAGAAAATTAGAGGTGAGTTCCTCACAACCTCATTCATTTACTATAGTTTGCATTATTTTGCATACTATTTTATTGGAGATTCATGTTTGATTTTATACTTACTTACTTTAATTCATCAATCCCTTCATTATCTTAAATCCATGTATGTGTTTTGAGATTTTAAGAGTAAGACACAAATGTAGCTTTGGGCAATGCCTGAAATGTTCAAAAATGATTTGATTATTCATACAATTCATTTCCTCGTTGGCTGTCAATGAGAATTCTTTGATGTGGCTGGCTGTTTGGAGAGTTTGATCACACCACTGAAGTTTGATGTTATGAATCATCACAAAATGTCGTGACAACCAATTACAAGTTGAAAGATTTAACTATCTGAAGATGGACAGCATGAGATTCTTAGTGAGGCTTTCTTCAAAGTCAGCAGTGAGTGTCCTTGCATCACCACTGACCACAAATCCAAACCAATGTATACATGCGTAAACATTATCATTTAACCAGAAACACTTCTAAAATACTCATGCTAAATTTACCTTGCTACGCTATTGAACTAAAAATGAAATCTATCAATGATCGGTGCTGATTAAATTCTCTTTATTTTTTTAATCTTGTTTAGGATTGCTGAAGGCTAAAATGTATGGTAGCGTTTTATCAGAAACAAGAACAGGATTATTGTTTCCAGCTTGACAATCAGTTCCTGTACAGCCATAATTGGCATGCATTGTGCCTGGAATATTCCTGTACAGCATAAACCCTTCTACTCAAATAATGGAAAACAAAAATTAGTGCAATTTTAATAATTTTTTTTGCATGCAGCCATTCATTTAACTCAATGGCCTGTTAAGGCATGCACTTCATTAAGAGCATGTGCTGTAGTAGGAAATTACTTTGATTTTTTACTGTGTAATAACTTGTCCTAGAATGATTCTACCTAAATGCTCAAGAACTACCAATACTCACGCAGGATAATAAAGCTTCCCAAGCACTTGGCCATACAGTATTCCTTTGGGAATGAAAAATCTGAATCATACCTGTCAGCCATTGGGATAGAGGTGGAGAGGAGGGGAGCCTCTGAATTTGTGAAGCCTCTCAGAATAATGTTCCAATCATTCAGATGATATCAGTCCACCAAATTTACTTATTACTCAAATTGATGTGAATGGTCAATGTAAAGACTTAAATTATGACCCTTGCACTCAAAAAATGTGTGCTTTCCCATTCCTAACCCGGTGTGTCAGTCATCTGCACTTCACTGAGTTTGATCGCACATGAAATCTGCCATCTGCTGCAGCTACAACTACAACCTCACAGCAGGATGACATTATGAGGGACTGAAAATGACCACGCACCTTTTAGACTGGAGCAGGAAATGTTTGCAGTATCTCCTAGTCTGCTCCCCATTGCAGTAAAGGAGACTTTACTGAGGCTCTATATTCAAAGAGTTGTCAAAAAATTCATTACCTTGTGGAGTGGACATGTGGTTTTGTGAGAATTGCAGGCTGCTTTGACCTTCCATTGACAGCACATTTTTGACTTTGTGGATAATAGATGTCAACTCTCAGGTATACTGTATCCAAAAGGGTCCATAAGATGTAGGAGCAGAAGTAAATCATTAAACTAATCATGTCTGCTCCACTATTCAATAAAATCATGGCTGATCTGACAATGCTCAACTCCACTTTCCTGCATTTCCCTTCAGCCCTTGATTACTTTACTGATTGAAATCTGTCTATCACAGTCTTGAATATACTTAACAACCCAATCTCAGAAACCCTCTATAGTAAAAATGAATTCCACAGATTCACTACACTTTGAGAGAAGAAATTCCTTCTCATCACTGTCTTAAATGTGCAACCCCTTATCCTGAGATTATGCCCTTTGGTCCTAGACTCTCCCGTAAGGAAAAACAACTTTTTCATATCTATCCTGTCAAGTCCCCAAAGAATCTTATATGTTTCAAGAAGAATGAATCTCCCATTCCCCTGAATTCCAGTGAGTTTCTGGCCTATCTTGCTCAACCTTTCTTCATAAGGCAGTCCCTTTATACTTGTGATCAGCCAAGTGAACCTTATCTGGACTACCTCCAGTGCAAGTATATATCTTCTCTCAGACATGCGGCCAAAGATATTTACAATATTCTCACTGTGATCTGACTAGTACCTTATACAGTTCTAGTAAGCATCCCTACTCTTATATGCTATTCCTTTTGGATTTATGCTGCAGTTTATGGTGCACAATATGTAGCTGAAAAAAATAGGCACGTAGCGGGATTGAAGGTATGTGCTGCAACTGATTGAGCCATAAAGAAAGATAGTTGTACAAAGAAAAGAGATTGGTTACTGTCTCTTGGATTTGGTGGTTACTGTGGGACTTTGTGAATTAAAGGTATTAATGAATTGTGGTTAGACAATTCAAGGCCTTGAATTAAAGTTTGACACCTTATAGTCAGAACCAATTTCAAGGTTACATCTGTAAAATGTTTCTGCATATTGTTACGAGAGTGAATATATGTGACTGAGGTAAAATTAACTGCAGTCATGGGTAAGCTTAATCATGAAAATGAAGCACTGTGCCTTTGCAGGAAAGAGGACACGGCATGAGCTGGAATGCAAGACACTGTGAAAAGTCAATAAATAGATGTTAAGCACTCACCAAGATGGAAGTTGCTGTGTTCTTTTGTTGTTTATCATTTGAGTACAATTGGCTTTATTGAAAATATTGTTGAGTAAAATGCTGTTTAAGTGAATCCTGTGTTATGTGTTTGTTTCTCATATCTCTGCAGTGAGTGCAAGGATAAAAGGAAAATCCCTACCTTATTAAAGTGCTATACAGTATCTGACTTCATTTCAATCCCATTGATTTGGTCAAGCATCACTTATTCCCATTTTAGCAGTGCTCAGAGTTCATGAAGGTGCTAAGTGCTTTTCAAATTATAAACTTACATTCAAGGTCACATTTGTAATAGAATGAAATGTGATGATCTTGTTTAATGCAACCGAAAAAAAACATTTCTGAAGAAGGGTCCCGACCCGAAATGTCAACTTTTCTGTTCCTCTGATGTTGCCTGGCCTGCTGTGTTCCTCCAGCTCGACACTGTGTTATCTCTGATTCTAGCATCAGCAGTTCTTACTATCTCTGATTTTTTTTTTAATTGTATAGTTGTTAGAATTGAGTAGTAATTAAAAACCAACCTTTGCTTTGTTATGAGCATATTGAAGCTTTGAAGACAGACGCCAATGTTGGAAACATTCAGTTTGTTATTGTGTGTGAATCTACCTCACATTTTGTCACATGTCGAGCTATAATGCAAGTAAAGAACAAATGTCAGTTAATTAGGTGCAAAGACATCTTGTTTATGAATTTTTGTCAGTTCTACTCATTTGAATACTTAAAAATAGAAGCACGATTTGGATGTTCTCAGAGGTGCATACTATTTACTCTTGCTAACAGGAAGTTACAGGGCGTTCCCTGAGTTACAAACACCCGTCTTACAAATGCTCATACTTACAAATGCAATCCCATACAGGAGTGTAATTTTAAAGACCTGACATATGAACATTTCCTATACTTAGGAATGGTTATTTTATATTGATCTGCAATGTGTTCTGACTTGTGTAGAAATTGACTTGTGAACGGACTCCAGAATGGATCCTGTTCGCAACTGTATTTTGTTCTATTTTCTCCTTTTGACCTCATGGAGACAAATAGAGGTAGGAGCTGGGACATCTGAATCCCAGAGGATTTTTAATATTTCTCTCTGACTGACCTCAGAGAGTGCTGGAAAGCAGTATGTTGTGAATTTCCTGCCAAAGCTTGGTTTTTATCCATTCCCTCTCTGTGGATCCAATCTAATTCTGCTTGAAGAGTGCTTTTGGCAATACAACCAAATGAAGTTCTGACCTTGCCAAGTCTCCTGATATGAAAACTTAAATTTAAGCCAGAATTTGCAATGGAAAATAATCATTCAGCATTATTTATTAGATATTTCAGGTTTAGAATCATCGAATGAAGTAACACAGAAGGAGGCCTTTTGACTGAT